CGGTTAAAATGGCACAGAAACCTTCCGATATGGCGTTTCCAGGTCTATCGCCTATGTGTGCTCCCTCCTGTTCATTTTTTCTAGAAAAAACCCTGAAACAAGTCGAGTAAACTAACGAACACCAGCAGGTAGTTTTGAACTGGAACTTGTAATTTGATAACTCTGAATAATAATTTTGCCAGCTTTATAATTGTCATCAAAACCAAGCATACAACAAGATAAAAATAAAAACAAAATTTAGAGCATAATTGACCAGCAGTTTTCAAGCTAGAAGTATTTCCAGGTAAAAATAACAGCAAGTACAGTTCCCTTTTCAGCTAAAAATACGCGTCACAATTTTTTTTTTTCTAAAACATACCACATGCCTTCCTACATATGGCAATTGTAACATCACGGACACTGTCAACACATACCTGCATGAAATGGCAATTCTGTGTATGGTCACATGATCTAGATCTCACAAAATAACCATGTCAAAATTTCATGTACTGAAAATGACGAAACTTGCTATAACTCTGCAAAAAGCCAACTAATTTTTATATTTATATTTCTGTTCTTGTTTTGAGATTTAAAAAAAAAAAGCTAACACTGTGTGTTGTATCGTTCTTTGTTAGTTGTCAGCAAATTAATACTATTTTCACCTCCTAAGTCCCACTCTCCTTTTGAAACATCTGTTGGGGCAATCAGTGAGATGAAGGGTGAACAGTGTTATACAATAAAATAATCTAGTCTAAACAGAAGATGAAAGTGAGATTAATTCAGTTCACTTTCTTTTCTTTTTATTTAGCTCAATGGTTTGACCATACATGTAGCAGGGGTTTTTCTGGAAAAAAAAAAAACTGCAAGAGGGAGCACTGCAATTCCCACCAAGAGTAGACAGACATGAGAGCAGCAAGCTTTTAAAAACTGGTAACCAGCAGGCTTTCAAGAAATTTTGATTTGTAGCCCTGTATATGCACCTGAGTTACTGTGGAATACTTTATTTTCGCTGGATTTAATTTTCGCTGAAAAGGCTTTTTAGGCATTTTGTATGGAATTTATTTTCACGGATTTTTGATGAGTTTAATGTGAAATATAGGAAAAAAAGTATATTCGCTGGATTTTATTTTCACCGAATCATCCCTTCAGCGAAAATAGCGAAAATAAATTCCAAGCAAAAATAAAGTATTCTACAGTATTAAAGTTGCACTATACAAACATTTATTTATTAGTTTCCTAGGACTATTATGTAAAATATATCTTTGATTGTCAGAATTGGAGTGAATAAAGAAACTTTAACAATAAATATTTAAATTTCAACATTTTCCAGCATGTGCAAGCGACGATTGGTTCATTTGACGTGTGATCAACTTTTCTTTAGTAACCAACATTCTATTTTTTTTAAAATAGTACAGCAGGGGTTTTCTAGAAAAAAAACTGCAAGAGGGAACACTGCAATTCAGCGACGCCACCAAGTGGAGGGGATAGAGCCAGGGTGTGGAGTTTTTGATAATTCTAAGTTAAAATGGAACATTCTATGGCTTCCTTGGGGCCAAAATTACTATCAGACAGGTCACAGTTGAAGACTGTGGCCACATGTGATCCCTGGTCAATCAGAATTTTATGGTTGCGCTGCGCCCCTGTTCCCTTGTTTAAAAAAATCCTTGGTACAGGCTGTAGAAATTCAAATCCTGGCAAATCCTCATTATTCTTTCCCACTGACCTAAAATTCTGGCCAACAAATAAGCGTCTATTTGACGCCTATTTATTTTTTTCATGTTTTTATAATCATTACTAGGCAATAATCAACAATTGTGAAACGCAACATGACTGGATTGTGCTAGCGCGATCATTTGCTACTAAGCAATGCAGTTGGGTTCGTTTTTATTTGAAACTTCTTTTAGAATACACTTTCATTACTAATAAATTGAAACAAAATAATTGTATTTGGTTCGCGAGGTTGGTTAATGTGATGTCTACTTTTTAATCCAGCAAGAACAAAATGTATAAAATTTTAGATTAGCTTCTGCAATTAGTTTCTTTCGTTTTGGGTGGTCCAACTACCGGCATTGAAAATCGGGCGTAGGTGGATTTTTCAATGAAAATAGAAGCCCCCTAAAAATATTTAGGGCCAAATAAGGGCCCACCAGCCATGAAACCGCCCTGGGCGATTTTTCGGATGAGCGAATTTATGGCAAAATAGGGATTCAGTGCAAATATAATCCAGGAAATGTATATTTTTCTTATATTTTACATTCAACTCATCAAAAATCAGTGAGAATAAACTCTATAAAAACATTCAAGAAATTTTTTCAACAAAAAATTAATTCAAGCTAAAATAAAATATTTTACAATAATAGGTATTAGTGAGTTGGCCTACAAAATGCAGAAATTTCATGTGGATTTTCAGATTTAAAAATAGGACTTTTCATTTAAAAGCGCAATGAATTCTGTTAATTTAAATAATTTATTGATATGAACTAACAATTAATGTCAGTCCAAAATTTTTGTTTTAAAAGTGTTACAGGATTTATGACTTTGACATTGGTCATCAACTTTAATTATATTAATACCATATTAAATTTATAAATAAAAGTGAAAAATCAATAATTTCACACGTTTTTGATCAATATTTTGAGCAAAAGGCAGGGACAATATTTTATTATCTAAAGTTTAGTAGCTGAATGCATTAAAAATGAATAAAACTATTATAAAGGTCAATGAAATCAGATTATCTGTTCCAAAGAAGGCAAACTATAATACCAAAAAAAAACACAGTCAAATAAACATTTCGGTGAATGAAT